TCTGTTTGTGGGCTCCATCCCCAAGAGCAAAACTAAGGAGCAGATCGTGGAGGAGTTCGCCAAAGTTACGGGTTAGTGTTGGTGTTATTCACTGTTGAGATGCATTAGAAATGGACTGACGCATTGGTTTGCAGATTAACAGGAAAATCAACACCTGTAGTTTGCTGTTGTTTTTATTTGCGCTGGAAGGTCCTAGCAATAAGGCTTCTCAGCTTTCGTCTTAAATCACATAATTCTGTTTTATTTTTTATAAAGAAGGATAGAGGAAGGTCATATGTGACCCTGCAGCACAAATCCAGTCATAAGTCGCACGGTTATATTTGTAGCAATAGCCAACAATACTTTGTACATTGTCTTTTATGCCAAATATCATTAGGATTTTAAGTAAAGATCATGTTCCATTAAGATATTTAGAAAATGTCCTACCCTAAATATATCAAACATGTATTATCATTAGTAATATGCATTGCTAAGGACTTCATTTGAAGAAATTTAAAGGCGATTTTCTCGGTATTTAGATTTTTTTGCACCCTCAGATTCCAGATTTTCAAATAGTTGTATCTCAGCCAAATATTGTCCTATCCTAACAAACCATACATCAATGGAAAGCTTATTTATTCAGCTGTATATATATTCAGATGTGTATATATCTCAATTTAAAAAAATTGACTCTTGAGACTTGTTTTGTGGTCTAGGGTCACACATTTGTTACTGTAATAAAAACATGAGCTCTCTGATGAGGATTTGTTTAGTCATAATTTCAAGTTAACATCAATCATGTTAATGTGAAAAAGGCCGTTTTTGCTTGTGCAAAGACAAAGAACACTTAATATTGTGCATATGTACATGCACAGGACCAACCAGTTTCTGCTGTAGTTTTCTAAACCTAATTATTCTAACAAAGTGAACTTATGAAATGTTTGTGCAAAAAAAAAAAAAAAAAAAAAAAAAAAACATTTCAAATGCACGATTAAATACACAATGCTTTAGTTGCTTTTTCCCCCTTGTAAATTATTTGTATTTAGTTCAGTAAGTAAAAATAATAAAATTGTGTCAGTAGAGCATTAAATTTGTTATTTAGTAATTACTGAAAATGTACTAGTTATTACTAAGTATAAGAATAATCAGCACTATTTTAAGTGAAAAGCTTTTGTTCATATTAATTATCTGTTATTGTAATGGAAACGGTTCGTCTAATACTGAAAGAGCTGCACGTCTGCAGTGAATTTGTCCGTTTATATTTTGTGTTTGAGTAACTGAAGAGTCAAGCATTTGTGATGGATTCGTGTCAATACAGCTTTCCAGGAAATAACTTTCTCTCCTCAATCTCAACAGAGGGCTTGAACGACGTCATCTTATACCATCAGCCTGACGACAAGAAGAAGAATCGCGGCTTCTGCTTCCTAGAGTACGAGGATCATAAAACGGCAGCCCAGGCGCGGCGTAGATTAATGAGTGGCAAAGTGAAGGTGTGGGGGAATGTGGTGACGGTAGAATGGGCTGATCCCATAGAAGACCCCGACCCTGAAGTCATGGCTAAGGTACGTTGTTTTCCACTAGCAGCAGTGCACGAGTCGGTGAGGGAAGGGTGCTGACAAGACCCACACAGTATACTGGAGTTTGTTGGAAATATGGTTATGATACCCAGGGCTCCAGACTGTGACCATTGCGTTGTCCAACTCATAAGTGTACTAGTTATTACTAAGTATAAGAATAATCAGCACTATTTTAAGTGAAAAGCTTTTGTTCATATTAATTATCTGTTATTGTAATGGAAACGGTTCGTCTAATACTGAAAGTATATTCAGAAGAGCTGCACGTCTGCAGTGAATTTGTCCGTTTATATTTTGTGTTTGAGTAACTGAAGAGTCAAGCATTTGTGATGGATTCGTGTCAATACAGCTTTCCAGGAAATAACTTTCTCTCCTCAATCTCAACAGAGGGCTTGAACGACGTCATCTTATACCATCAGCCTGACGACAAGAAGAAGAATCGCGGCTTCTGCTTCCTAGAGTACGAGGATCATAAAACGGCAGCCCAGGCGCGGCGTAGATTAATGAGTGGCAAAGTGAAGGTGTGGGGGAATGTGGTGACGGTAGAATGGGCTGATCCCATAGAAGACCCCGACCCTGAAGTCATGGCTAAGGTACGTTGTTTTCCACTAGCAGCAGTGCACGAGTCGGTGAGGGAAGGGTGCTGACAAGACCCACACAGTATACTGGAGTTTGTTGGAAATATGGTTATGATACCCAGGGCTCCAGACTGTGACCATTGCGTTGTCCAACTCATAAGTTTCTGTTGCATTTGAGAAACATCAAACGGCAAACGAAAGCGAAACTAAACCGCTATGTTTCAGCTGCGCAGTGCGGACCGCAACGCAAACAAACCTGTCCGAGCTCAGAACAGCTTTAATCGGGAGCCGAAGTTGATTTCGCCACACTGTTACTGCACAGATGCAACAGTGCTGCGAGATCCAGTGAGAAGCGTTTGAATTCGCCGCACAATGATGAGGTTGCTGCGAGATCTAGTGAGCATCATTCAAATTCTGCACAGAATTCTCTGTTATAAACAGCGCCGACACACGTCAGGAAACCAGAAGCCGTCACGCTAACTGTAACCACGGTGTTGTGGCAGAAATAGTCGAATGCATTACATTATTACCATTGCGTTGTCCAACTCATAAGTGCTTAAATTTCTGTTGCATTTGAGAAACATCAAACGGCAAACGAAAGCGAAACTAAACCGCTATGTTTCAGCTGCGCAGTGCGGACCGCAACACAAACAAACCTGTCCGAGCTCAGAACAGCTTTAATCGGGAGCCGAAGTTGATTTCGCCACACTGTTACTGCACAGATGCAACAGTGCTGCGAGATCCAGTGAGAAGCGTTTGAATTCGCCGCACAATGATGAGGTTGCTGCGAGATCTAGTGAGCATCATTCAAATTCTGCACAGAATTCTCTGTTATAAACAGCGCCGACACACGTCAGGAAACCAGAAGCCGTCACGCTAACTGTAACCACGGTGTTGTGGCAGAAATAGTCGAATGCATTACATTATTCATTTCAGGGTTTGTACAACCTTTTGAGAGAGAAATTCAAGCACTTCTCAATGACTTTCAAGCATTTCACACAACTGTTTCTAGCACTTTAAAGCTCTAAAATGATCCAGTCTGAATGTTATTTTTAATGGGATGACCATTAAACACTTATGTAAAATTAAAAAAATACATCAAATCACAATTATAACCAGTAGACGGCAGCAGAGGAACACTTACTGGCTTAATTAAGCATTCATTTTTACTTTTTCCTCTATTTTGAAATTATAAATCACTATTATAAAATATCCTGTAATATATATTTTGTCAGAATTGTACACATTTTTTTTTTTTTTGTGTATGAAGTAAGAAAAGTCACCAAGTGCCTTGAAAAACAAACTTTTATTAAATTTGCTACTAAATCACACATAATCACTGAAGTTGGTCAGTTCCATATACTAGAAGAATAATGGTACATTTAATAAGAGTGGAATATGTACATTTTCTATATAAAAATTAGATTTTGCACATGTTACTGTTAATAAAAGTAAATTTTGTATGCACTTAACTAAAGCTTAGTGCTTTCCTGTCAAATCTGTATAAACAATAAACATTAGAAAAATAAACAAGAAATGAACATGTAATATTATTAGTAACTGTACTTATTAATGCAAAACAATAGTAATTTTATGATTAAATGATTAAAACCACCCCCAGCGCTACCAAATCTGCTCCTGGCACCACGATCTGTAGAACTTAGTGGCGCTGGTGCCACTGCTCTCAAATGTTACACGCTTGATGCTTTTAAATCTTTAAAATCTGCAGTGAAAACGAAACAGGACATTTTTCTCTGCATGTAAGCGGCATGCAAGATTTGAAGAAAAAGTTAACTCTTTCAGCTCTAGACTACTTAAAATAATCCTGTAATCTTTTATTTAGCATTACAGTAATTATAGAAGCTATGAAGTGCGTGCATAAATAAAATGTGTATACTGACGATATTAGTCAAGTGGAGCTGTGAAGTTGGAATGAGAATCACAAAACCTTTACACTGAACACATTACAGCAATGAGAACGATTTTTTAATTTGAAGGTCATTTGTGCTTATTTGTTACGTCAGTGTTAGATGAGAAAATATCCTAAATGGTCTTTCTCTACGCAAAATATTTTCCTGTGTGCTAAATGAGATTCACATGCCAGAGCCTTGAATTATAAATGGTCAGGTTTATACTGAAGAATTTTTTGCATGTATTGTTTAGGTCAAAGTCCTCTTTGTAAGAAACCTGGCGAGCACAGTAACAGAAGAGCTTCTCGAGGAGACGTTCTGTCAGTTTGGCAAGCTGGAAAGAGTTAAAAAGCTTAAAGACTACGCCTTCATCCACTTCGAAGAGAGAGAGAGCGCCGTTAAGGTAATTATCTCTTCCTCGGCATCATTTGAGAGGTTGCTGGTAATTAATGCACAGATTTTAACCAGGGTTTTTCCGCAGGCTCTAGCTGAAATGCATGGGAAGGATTTGGAAGGGGAACAAATTGAAATCGTCTTTGCAAAGCCGCCTGACCAGAAGAGGAAAGAGCGAAAGGCCCAGAGACAAGCTGCTAAAACTCAAATGTAAGGCGATTTATGAGCTTTGTCACATAACTAACTTACCTCGAGCTCACATGGAGAAATATAGCACAAGAATTCTCTCAAGGTCTAAAAATGACATTAAAATGCAGAGCAAAAGTCTATAGGACAAATTATTTCAGCTTTCTGAAGTCACCTGATGCATTGTGTGAGGAACAGACTGATATTTATATCATTTTATGTCAGTATCTGCTGTACTGTTATAAAGATCTCATTGATTTGCATTACAAGCATCAGAATTTCTTCATCATAAATATCAGCATCTGCACCAAATTGCATATTTCTGCTCGGATTGAGCTTCTGAATAGGAGCTGTTCCCTTTCAAGGGAACTTCGAACTGCGTCCTCTAGGGGTCGCTATGGCCTAGAGGACATAGTGTCTCGTTCCCTACTCAGGGAACCATGGTTACATATGTAACCTGAGATGTTCCCTTTCCAGGGAACTTCAAACTGCGTCCTCTAGGCCATAGCGACGCCTAGAGGACGCAGTGTCTCATTCCCTACTCAGGGAACCATGGTTACATAAGTAACCTGAGACGTTTTTTTCCTTCATATTCCCACTGTATGAGCCACAAAAGCCTATGCTGCTCAACAAAAAACATTTAAATATTTTTTAATATATTATATTTTGTCAAAAGTTCAATAAGCAGGTACATTAACAAAAAATACTATATATATATTTTTTTTGGACTGATATTTCTTGTCAGACTTCACAGGGTTAAAATACAGGAAAATTACCTCAACTTGTTTTTTCTCCACTCACATTTTAATATTCATTAAGGAAGTAAATGCAATTTATCATGAATAGAATATTTCAATATAAAATATAAAAATACAAACTGATTGAAGTAAAACAATAACATGAGATTTAAAAATAATTCAGAAACACCTTATTTAAAGTTTAGTTGCACCTACAAGTTGCATTTAATATCAGTCAGTTGGGGGCAGTTAATCTAAAAGTTGAGTGTGTTTTACTAAATAAATTGACCAAATAAAAGAAGAAGAAAATCAAACAAAGTGAAGTACTTTTCATTTCTGAAGTATTTGAGTTTATTTATTATATAAAGCCCTTTTTGTCGATTTTCATAACTACATATATAAACAACTATATTGTGAAATATATCGTTACCGTAAAGTAAATTTACAAGATGTCGCATAGGTCATACAAGACTGACTCGTGAAGACCCTACTCAGTGTATGTTTTGCAAGGTTCCCCTTTCTGTTAAACACATTTTATTGGACTGTCCAGCTTTTAATGTACAGAGAAAACTATTTTATGAAGTGAACTCACTTAAAGAGTTTAGTAAAATTTTGCCAGGAAAAGTTTGAATTTTTATCACATGCTAATGTAAAAAATCTTGTCTGATATAACTTGTTTGTTTGCTGTTTTTTTTTATTGTATTTGTTAAGTATTTGAGTTTATTTATTATATAAAGCCCTTTTTGTTTATTTTCATAACTACATATATAAACAACTATATTGTGAAATATATCGTTACCGTAAAGTAAATTTACAAGATGTCGCATAGGTCATACAAGACTGACTCGTGAAGACCCTACTCAGTGTATGTTTTGCAAGGTTCCCCTTTCTGTTAAACACATTTTATTGGACTGTCCAGCTTTTAATGTACAGAGAAAACTATTTTATGAAGTGAACTCACTTAAAGAGTTTAGTAAAATTTTGCCAGGAAAAGTTTTAGAATTTTTATCACATGCTAATGTAAAAAATCTTGTCTGATATAACTTGTTTGTTTGCTGTTTTTTTATTGTATTTGTTAGTTGTATTTTTAAAATAGTTTTTGCCATGAAAATAGCCTTTGATGCTGACATGGCATTA